AAGAACAAATGGTGAAACACGGTGCAAATGTAATGTCAAACAATGACCAAACATACGTAATGTTCAAAATAATTTATTGTCCAAAGAATTTTTTTTCTGTAGAAATAAATTGTTTCTGAAGAGCATCCACTCTGATATTCCAAAATATGTAACACTACACAATCAAGAGAAACGACATGCAGTGCAATTCATATTAGAATACTATTCAAGGTCACTAACTGTGGGTACATCCTTGAGCTTATTACTCTTGAGCTTGGCTTTGCCTTTACATGTCTTACATGTGTATGCCTTCGGTGTCCTCTTCAACTTCACACATTGTAGATGGAACCACTTTACAATACACATTTCACTCGTACATTTAATGACTATGTCTGTGGCAACATGGGATTTTTGGCAGTGGCATACCACTTCCCCAACATACGGATTATCTTGAGCTTTTCTATTAGTCTCTTCAATTTCTCTGGTAATGAGGTTACCCATGAGTTCTGGCAACAACACTTTCAAATACTAGTTCTCTGCTTTACTTATTATTTCCTGGAAAACATCAGGATTCGGGGTGATCCTCTGAATGCTCATTTCATGTGGAGTCCAAATTACAAAATCACCATAGTCCGTTTCAGTCACAAGCAGCTGGGTCTGAATTTGATAAAACTATTTGTCTGTTATCTTCAAAGTGCCATCCTTGTTTAGAAAAGGCAACTGGGATTCATCAAGTGTGCTTTCTCTGGCATTATATGGACATTTTATCTCTAAAATGCCTTTACCACAGCAACTACACTCCTGGATGCCGTCAGGAGTGGCACCCATATAAGGGTAGTTCTTGTTAATCCAAAATCCAGATTTACATATACAAAAGTTGTAATGATGTTCTTTGGCATACATCTCAAAGTTGTTATAAGCCTCGTCTTCATGGCTTTTTCCCCAATCAGTGGCAACTGATGAGAAGTGACTTTTCTCACAGATTGCTGCAACTGTTGAGGGAGCTGGCTGTTGGCAGTTACCGCTGATGACTAGCTTCATATTACTAGCAGTGATTCTTCCATACCTCAGCGCATGCCACTCCTTGCTTTTATGCTGAGACCGGGTTAGTTCCTCAGCATTTTTCACTTGCTGATCAGTTACTGCCAGCTTATTAAATACTGATGGTGCTTCAGCCAATAATGAGTCCCTGTCCATGTTAATATATTTATCATCTTTGAGGGTAATCAAGGCGATGGGTAGTCTACCTTCTTGCAAAATTATTGGAATGAAACTATCTTGATATTTTTCAGTAACAGAAAGAATGACCGATTTGACACCAGTATTATGAAGCCTGTCCATAAACGCACTGATATCTTCCTCTGATGGTATTCGAACAGTTGGGAGTTTTGTAGCTGTTCGAGTTGTCAGTTGTGTTCCAGCAATGGCACTATCAATTCTCTTCTTTTTAGTAGCAGGTGTGGAAAAATCTATGTGTCTTATTTCTGCATAGTCCACCTTGTTGATGATTGGGAGTACCCATTTAGCCTTTTGTTGAGTGCAAGTTGTTGATGCACTCAGTCGAGCAGCAGCCTCACAGTAGAAAAGAAGCGCACAAACATGTGAGCACACCTCGCCAAGCCCAGCGATGCAGGTACAGTGGGCAGAGTTGACAGCACCATCCGGCTCGCAGATGACCCAGGGGCGCAGTGGCTTGTCATTGACACTTTGGGAATGTTTGACCTAAACAAAGAGCATTTTTTATTTAGTTCGAGAACTTATTTGAGTTAATTAAAACAAATGGGTCTATATAATGTCATTAGTATGTTCTAATGTATGTCTTGTTGTACATGGACTGATATCCAGATTCTAATAATCTAGTGTAAAAATAAGTACATGCATATTATAGAACGCACTCTGTTTTAAGTGGAACATAGGAATTAAGTTGTGCAGGCTATGGCTTTTTAATAGACAGAATAGTCTAGCATCATGCTACATACCTTCGCTATGATGACTACTTTTCCATTGATTGCACTTGAGCAAACGTCACCAACCCAACCCTCGGCAAATTGATTGTACGCCTCCAGCGATTTCCATGCTGGGAATTGCTCACATGTGTGAAAGCTCCTAGCCAATACCAGATAATGGTACACATGATAATACTGTATCTGAGGCAAAGCTGCATAATCAGCGTTCAGTGCTTCCTTCGTTAGCGTATACGGATCCACACAATTAATGACTGAAATTTTCGCATCGTACCTCTCTCTATCTTGTGTTAATAGAGTCTCTTTATAATCTCTGTCACTTTGTCTCTTCATGATTTTCGTAACATTTTAAAAACAGGATTAAACATTCGAAATTTGCGAGTGAAACTCATTAAACTTTGTAAACACAGCAGCGTGCCATCAAAGATGGCGTCTCCGAGGAGGTCATGTGACATTCATTGGTCTGTGGGAACTATGTATTTTCCCTGTCTCTCCTTTTGCTGCAGCCAAAAACGGCAAACATTTTGAACATGTTTATGCGGTCCCGGGTGCACGCCACTATCATACAGCGTTTGCTTGTCCTCCAGTATGGCGGATGCCCCGCGAGTTCGAGGCATCGTGACGTCACGTGAGATATCTCTATACCACAGGAAAATCAAATTACTTACTTTTTCACCCACCAGAGGGAGCCATCACACAAGAAAAGACTCTTCAGACCACCGTCCACTTGGAGCCCCCCACTGTCTATGCTACCCCCAGAGATGCCACACCTTATTAAAGCAGACCTCAAAGCCCTGGAGGAACAACACAAACCAAGAAGAGAAGAACAAAATTTCACTACAGAAGAAGAACAAGCCCTAAAAGATTTAATTAAACGGAAAGACATAGTTATTAAACCTGCCGACAAAGGAAACACCACAGTTATCATGGACAGAGAACAATACACACAAGAAGCTCTAAGACAACTAAACAACACTCAATATTATAGGAGATTGGACTCACCCATATACCCGGACACAATACAACATATAAGACACATTTTTGACACACTCCACAAACTAAAATACATAGACTCAAAACAGAATGAATACTTAAAGGGGGACCACGAACCCAGACCCAGACTATTTTACATGCTTCCAAAAATACACAAAGACCCACAGACATGGACCATACCCTACGAAATCCCACCAGGTAGACCTATCATCTCAGACTGCTCCAGCGAAACATATCGATCAGCAGAATACCTGGAACATTATCTACACCCACTCTCTATCAAACACCCAGCATATCTCAAGGACACATATCACTTTATCAACATCATCAAAAACCTAAAAATAACCTCGACTCCCTTCTTCCTTTTCACCATTGACATTGACTCCCTCTATACTAACATTGACACCCCCGCAGGCTTGGCTGCAGTACGAAATATTATGAATAAACACCCTGACCCTACCAGACCGGACACACAAATACTTCAACTCCTTGAAATAAACCTGAACCGGAATGATTTTGAATTCAATGAAGAATATTATTTACAGATTAAAGGCACAGCCATGGGCAAGAAATTCGCTCCATCATACGCAAACATATTTATGGCAGAATGGGAGACAAAAGCACTGGAACAATGCCCCATCAAACCTATAACATATCACAGATACCTGGACGATATTTTCGGAATTTGGACTTCAACAGAAACGGACTTGACACATTTCATACAAACCCTGGACTCCTTCGACCCCTCCATCAAACTAAAATATGTATACAACCCACACAAAGTGGACTTCTTAGACACAACAGTGTACCTAGGCCCTTCATTTGAACACACTCAAACCCTGGACATAAAAGTATTTTTCAAAGATACGGACACACATTCACTCCTCCACAAAACAAGCTTCCACCCAAAACATACATTAAGGGCCTGATAAAATCACAGCTCACCCGATTCAAACGTATATGTACACAACACTCAGACTTTCTGCAAGCAGTACAGACCCTATTTGGAGCCCTAAGACAACGAGGCTATTCCCGCTCATTCTTAAGGCAGTGCCTAGCCACATTCGATAACAACAACAATAAAACAACAAAAGATGGACACCGAATTAATTGCATTCATTTCCACGTACTCCACACCAGCATTAAAAATAGCCCCCCATATCAAAACAAATTATTTACATTTTATTTCCAACCAAGGACTTTTACCCAGACACAGGATGATAGCAGCATCCAGAAGGAACCCGAATCTAAAGGACTATTTAGTCAGAGCCAAACTCGGATCACTGCAGAACGTTAAGAAGCATAACCCAATAAAAGACAACATAAAATACACATTTGGTAGAACAATGTATTTTTTTTTTCCACTTGTTTCTTTTTCTTTTTCTTCTTATTATTATTATTATTATTATTACTTTTAAGGCAAGGTATATGAATTAATTATTTCAGAGTGGGTTTATTATAATTATACATATTCTGATTGAATATTTGAATAGTAATCGTAATTATCATGTACTAATTTAAATGTTAATCTCAAAACATGATGTACTAATGTAAACATTAATCTCAATATGTTTCGGACCCTGGGAGGATAGATCGAGCGGACCCACATAGACCAGCGCTTTTCTACGCTGAGCCAGGTGCTTGGTTTGAGGCCTAGTTAGGCCTAGGTAGGCCTCAAACACGCCTAAGATTTGTAAAATATCCTTTAATATAACAGCTTTGAGGGACTCAAAATGATTAAAAAAAAAATGCTTCTAGCGGGATTCGATCCCACAGCACCGGCACCGGCGCCCCTCACCGTAACCACTCGACCACCGGTAACGTGTGATCAATGTATTGTATAATTTGGGCCGTTTTACCGCGTATAAGGCCTGAACAGCCAAAACTTCAGAATCCTATGCAAAAATCGGGATATAAGTCAAGTTCATGTTGAATTTATTCATAGATTCATTTTATAATATAATTCTAATTTATTAAAATCATTTTTGTACAGGTAACGCCCCTTTCTGCTCAGTTATTCAGCGGAGTTGAAAGAGGCGTTTTTAGGCCTTTTCGCGGTACAACATGGAGGTGAGTGGTCACATGCGTTTATTACACCGTCTTAGTTGTGTAACAATCAAAATATATTTGTAAACATTCATAAATACAATGCTGAGTGGATATCGGGGCTGTGCACACGGAGAACAGCTCTCCCTGTTCGAGCTCCGTAACGTTTTCAGGAGGCCTTGCAGGTGCTACACGGACACGGAGATGCTCCTCGGATGCCACCACCTTCAAGGCCTGGCCCATGGAGATTCACGTTTTTTGCTCACGGGGTGCAGCAACGTCATTATTTATAATAATAATAATTATTATCATTTTCTCTTTATTCTGTAACAGGGTGGAAAACTGTGCGGCATCTGCTTTACAGAAGCTATAAATATCAAACAGCACCTGCTGCGGATGCACAAGGTGGCCAACTTGGAGGAGCTACACCTCCTCCAAAAATATGGTAGTGCACGGTGAGTTAATGCACGCACACACGCACACACACACACACACACACACACACACACACACACACACACACACACACAGTAATAGATCCATGAGCCCAGCGCGGAGCTGTGTAAGACAGAGACCAGATGTTGATTTATTTTCATTCTCCTAGGACCACGGCTGTGCTAGACTGCCCGTGCTGTGTCAAAAAGGGGGTGGTCCGGCTGGACAAGCACCTGCAGAACCTGCACAACAAGACCTCCTCCGATGTAAATTGCTTTTATCAAATCCATATGTTTCAATATGTGTCCAAACAATATGTTTTGGTTCGTAGGAGCGTGCTGCCCTCTTGCGAGAGGCAAAGCGCTTCGCCATTATCAAGGAGCTGAGGGACCTGAGGCTCTCAGACCCCTCAGTGCCCCTGGTATCGGAACTGGACCTTGGTAAGAACCAAAACAGTACTTTTAACTGTTGTTGGATATCTGGAAATATATAAATAATTTATAAATTGATAACACCTATGTTAATGTTAATGTTTTTTTTATATATTTACATTATTGAATCAGATGCACCCAACTACAACACACTCATGGAAATGGATGAGGCTGGTGAGTGTTTATTGCTTTTGATAGTAGTAGTACTACTACTACTACTACTACTACGACTACTATTACTACTGAGTAATGGAAATTCATATATGCATATTGAATCAGATCCTGAGCCCCTGGTGGGAGGTGAGGATCAGGCCATCGCCGGCCCTTCTCTCTCTGGTGAGTATTTATTGCTCTTGATAGTTACTACTCCTCATACTGTCCTCATAAGAAGACAGGTAAAGCTTTTCTTCTGTTGTGATTCAGGGCTATACAAGAATAAATTGTATTGTATTGTTTTGTACCACTGCTACTAGTGCTATTACTACTATTACTATTACTACTACTACTGCTGCTGCTACTACTATTACTATTACTACTACTACTACTACTACTATTACTACTGAGTAACACCTAACAATGTTATTGCGTAGGGTTATTGAAATGTTGAATCATGGAGTACATTATTTTTAATAAAGGGACTTCATACCACATGGACCAGGAGAGACCGGGTCCATCTCGTGTTGATTACGAGGCCCGCATCCAGAGGCTGGAGGCCCGCCTCACCAGTCTCGAGCGCTCCCACGCTCTTCTCCAAAAGAAGTGCCGGTCCCTCCAGGTTGCCCCGGCTCCCGTGGCCCCCACCTCTGCTCAGAAGGGGGAGCACGTGGACAAACACTGACCTATGGTAAGTTGGTTACTAATAGTTCTGGACCATGGAGGGAAATATTCAAATATTGTCATCCTTTTTTCTAAAAGTCAATTTGATTTTATTGCAGAATCACTGGTGGAGGATTACAGAAAGTTCAGGCTCGGGGCGCGGACCAGGCCAAAGGACCTGGACAATGCCAAGCAGTAAGCCAGCCACTCACTGAGGTTTTGCCGGTACATGGCCCAGGGAGTGGCGGCTGACTGCCTGACCGGGAGCCTCAGGTTCCTGAACCGCCTGGACCACCTGCGTGGGTGAGTATTAGTCTGCTATCTTTGGATGAAGAATTAGGTAACTCTGCATCTTGTTTAATATCACTAAAATTGGTCCAAGAAAATTTGCCATTTAGTTAGGATTTTCTTGTGAAAGTGAATGGTGATAGATTTAAAAATTCTGGAAGATTTATATGTGGTAACCTGTCTGTTTTTTTACACAGTTACCCCACGTACCTGGGCCAAAAGGGGTACAAGAGCACCACGATGAAGAACATGATTACCAATGTAATCATGTTCCTGCGCCATGTGAGCAAGCGCTTCCCGCGCCAGACCCGCCTGAGGCCCGCTGAAGCCTCTAACATCGAATATGAGCTTCAGCGGATCCAGCGGGAAGTGCTTGTTCACAGGCAAAAGGTCCTAAAGAAACAGTCAGGTAAGGCTTTTCCTGTCTTATATGGGTAACACCACTGCTACTACTACTACTACTACTACTACTACTACTACTGCTGGTGATGCTACTACTACTGCTACTACTGATAACACTTATAC